GACGCACGCGGCGGGCGGCCGGCGCCCGCGGATGGAGTTCCGCCTTGCTGCCCCCACGGACAGCGACATGGCGTGACAATGTGCAGCCCCGCGTTCTTGCGCGCGCTTGCACTGCTCTTTCGTTGCCCACCCTTGGGCTCCTCGTTTCTCAGCCATCAGCCTGTCGCCGATCCTGCGGGCGCGCTTACGGCGCGTGGTGCAGCCTGTGTGCCGAGCTACCTGACACCCACGGCCCTCAAGCTATCGTGGTGCTGACGGGAACGGGCCGGTCCTGTGGCTTAACCGTGGGGGTTTGGAGGGTTTTCCCCCGGTGCCATATCGGCCCTGCTCACGCCCCTTGCGCGTGTCACGCGTTGGGCTACCTCGCACATGGCCACAGCTCACCTGTTACTATCTAGGTTGCACGCAGGTGCTCGGCACCTCGCTACCCCCGTGTAACCGACTGTCTATAAAAAAAACAGCACGCCGTCCACGCCGTCGGCCCCGGCGGCTGGCCGGCGGACGCCGAGGGCCGCTGCAGCCAACGTACCATCAGCGTCAACGGCGTACACGCGCTCGCCGCCTGTCCCCTGGTGCCGTACCCACCGGCCATCCGCGCTTGCTTGCCACGCCGACCCTGGCATCGCGCTCCGGAGCGCTGCCGACCACTCAGCGGCCACGGCGGCCGGCGGTGCAGCCTGGTCAGACCAGTCGAGGTCGCCGAGCCGGGCCGCTCTCCTCCACTCGGCCGCAGCCTGCCGCCACGCCAGCGCCGAGGCGGTGCCGCCCGGCCGCGCTACTGCCGCGTTTCCAGCGAGGGGCTCGCGGGCGACCTGATGGGCAAGCATGGCGGCCGGAGGGATGAGGCGATGCGGGCGCGTCGCTTGGAGTGCCGCCCAGTACGCGCCGAGGCGCCGTGGGAGCCCCGGCGCCGCCTGTCGCGGCCAAAGCGTGGTTGGCATGGCGCCGATACCGAGTCCCGGGAGTTCGGTGTCGAAGCGCTAACGGTCGATATCCTTCCACACGCGGCACTGCGGGTGCACCAGCCGCGCCGCCGTCTTGGCGAGCAGCGCGGTGGCCTGCAACCGCACGTCAGGTGCCCCGAGGCCGCCCATTTCTCGCGGCAGGCACATGGCGGCCCTGGGCGGGTGGTGGATCAGGGGCCTGTCGTCGGTGGCCGGGTTGGGGGGCTTGCCATAGATGTAACCTTCGATAATGGCTTGGAGTGCCGCGGCCTGCCGCTCGTGCGCCCCCACGAACGACGCGATGTGCACCACGGTCGACGCCATGGTGGCCTTGGCGACGTGCAGCCGCCCGAGCAGAAACAGGTCGACGCCGCTCCAGTGGCGG